GCTTTATCTAAAACAAAAATAAGTTCATTTCTAATTTTATATATTTTTCATCTTATTGAATTGGACTTTGGAAATAATATCTTATGAGGAGATCTAAATATGAAAGAGTTATTTTCATCCTTCTTTTTAATTATTAATCTTAATTTACTATAATATTTTGAAATTTTTAAGGTTTTGCATTAAAAGAAGTTTAAAACCCTTGCATTCCAAAGTCAATGTTTAAGATAAGTATTTTCAGAATATTTATTTTTTATTCTACTTCATCTGAGAAGACTGCCTAAGACTGATTTCTTAAAAGATAAAAAAAAATTTAAAAATCCACTCATGAAAAGTGAAATCAGACAAATAACCCTACACATTATTATATCTTCTCATACCTGTGGACAGAAATATTATAAAATTATTTTGGCATATTTTGTAATTTTGTCAATATGACTCTAAGAACTATCTACAAGGATATTGATCACATCTCTTTAAGAATCCATGGATTGTATTAGTTTCTACATCTTTACTCACTGGGACAAATTCTTTCACAATTACATGAAACAATTATTTAATGATAATATAAAACAATGTAAAAAAGAAGAAAACACAGTTACATAGCATCAGTTCATTTTACACATGTAGACTATAAATTATTTTTAATCTCATATGAAACTGATACAAAATCATGTAAGTTATTTTATGTCTGAACTCACATAGTGTATGCTCAATGACACTTAAAAGAAATGAAATAGTAACAGTAGCTTATTTTCTGAAGTGATCTTGACACTAATGCTAAATTACAACTTGGAAACATCTAGCATTTTTACCTTTATGAGAAAAGGCTTTTTACATATTTAACATAATTCCAGGGAAAATAAACTGGAATTATGTATCAAGATATGTACACTGTAACCAAGGGGCATTTATTTTCCCCCGTAGAATACTTACAATGATTTTATTGCCATTTTGTGTCATTTTCTAAAGGATATAAAATACAGCCAGTAAACAAACTAGACTTTAGATTTAAGGTGACAGCTGCTCCTTCAGAAGCAATATTCAGATATTTAATCTTAAGAACATTGAATATTTTACGACCAAGTAAAGTATACTTTTGTAAAAATGAAAGAACTCTGTGCTTTGGCTTCTGATTTTCACAGCTGCGCTGATCGACACAGCCAAGGATACAAACTCCCATCAGCTCTAAATCCCAGAGAATAAATCCAAATGTTGGATTTTTGCTCATTTAACAATTTGAGAAAAAAATCAACATAAGTGCTCTCTTTTTTCAAAATGCAAAACATTCTTTCTCTAAAATGATGCTGATTCAACCTATAACATATAGAGTGCTGTAGTGTTTCTAGTTCTTTTTGAAATCTACAGTTTAACCTGATTTCAGTGGACTCTGCTCCTCGTTGAGCTACTATGCTTCAAGTATAGCATCTGAATTCCATCGAGAACATCTTCTTTATTTCAAAACCAAAATGAACTTTACCTCCATATATTGCTATCTGTTCACTCAGTGAACAAATGTTCAGAATGCCAAAGTCCTGTGTGGAGTGGAAAATGAACTCAACATTTGCTTCCAGAATTTTTCCAGTTTCATTCCTCCTTTTCCTCTTAATTCCTTTATCCATCTTCATAATGGCTTCTCACTGAAGTTTTATCACTATTGTTTATTTTTTGGTAGCCAATTTGACCCATCTCACCAGCCTGATTGTAAATAATATCAACTTCAGGGTTTTTTTTTTCCCCCCAATGAGACACTTGAGGATAGATCTAACCTTATTAGCAAGCTATTAACCACCTCTTTCTTAAGACCTTCTCTAGCGAGAAGAGTTAAATCCAGATACTTTACACTCAAGGGGGCTGGCCTGGGCACAAACACAGGCAGAATGAGCTCACATGCTGTGTTGCCTGAACTGTCATAGTGTCACCAATGGACACTGGCTCTGTGCAGCCTGAGAGACACTTGCCTGCCTTTGCAGACATTGTTGTCTCATGCACTGCTTGGTAGGACCTGACAGTGTGCCAGAAGTAGCTTTTCTCCAAAAAAAGTTGATGCTGATAGATTTTCCCCATTTTTGTTGTTCTTGTTACTTTCACGGAGGGCTAGAATTTAGAGTACCTTCCTCTGCCCAGATAGTGCATATCTTAATGGTAGATTCTGACGGTGGAATAACTAGGGCAAAGAATATGGGACTGTGAAAGTATAGATGGTGTGTGGTGTGTTATGTTTTAAATGTGTGTGTGTGTGTGTGTGTTAATTTGTTGTCAGATATCTTAACAAATATGTAATCACAGCTGGAGTGAATAAAGAAGTTACCGGCACTTTGAGAGTCTTTTGAGTCACAGCCACACAAACGACATTTTCTCTAGCTTAATTGGATAATGTGTTTGAAATATCAAACGGTGTGAGTATCATAGTTCACTGTCCTCTTTCTGCCTTTAAACATGCTACAATACCGGGTTGGCTTTTTCTCTTTTTTTTAAAGCATGGCACGTTGAAGCACGAGTTTGTCATACATTTTAGGTTTTTTCATAATATTTGTTTTCTAACATTTTTTCCATTAATTAATGTGATCTGTAAAATAAAATAATAAATATGACCATAATAATCTGCTTACTTTTCCAGCATACATAACTTGAAATAAATAACTATTCAGATTAATGAGAAATTAAAAATATTTTAGGATCTCTTTAGCAGCATTTTGCTGTAATTGGAAAGAGAGCTGTCCTGCACAGAGCTAAAGTGAGAAGAGACAGCAAAGAAGTTTCGTTAGCAATTGCAATTGAGGTTAGTTAAATGTTTGTTCACGCTTTCATAAATCTGTCAGGCCAAAATATATTTATTAATTGGATGTGTATCACGTGTGCATCCATATCATTTTATATAAGTGCATATTTGATACATTATGGCGTCAGCCATGACCAGGATAGCAGCAATAGTTGAAATTGCAGAAGGAAGTTAGAAGAACCAGAGTAACCAGAAGACTCCATGCTGCTGGCCCATGACCCTGATACTCTGCATCTGGGTAGACAAATGCTTCCAGATGATTAGTCCAGATGACAATAGTGAAATTCCTCAAACTCCCAGCAACAAAACCACCCCTGCCCCCACTGTTCTTCTTCTCCAAGCACTCTGGACTCTTTAAGGAATTTGTGTTAAAAAAGAGGTACTAGTAAGTAAGGAGACATCCCCACAATTCATTTCCTAAAAGATAAAGTGGGGATTGAGGTTTTTTTTTTTTTTTTTTTTTTTTTTTTTATTCATTCTGAACCTCAGCCACAACAGCAAAGAAAGATTGTAAATGAAAAGGAACTTAGGAAAAAGTGAACCTTGTCATTTTGGAATGCATAATTCTAGTGAAGACTGAGTGCCATCCAATTTGATATCTGTAATATACATGGACCTAAATGGAAAGGTATTTCAAGAGGCAGAGCTTGAAATGGGAAGAGCTCTAGAATTTTAACTCTGGCATGCATTTTTAGACAACCTGGATAAGAATGTAGAGAGTGCATTTTAGTAAGTTTCTTGGGCACAGAATGCTTCCTAACAAGATTTTAAAATGATCATGCACAAAGATTTTTAAAAGAGTTTAGATTTTAAAAGATCATGCATCAAGATGAAGAAAGAAAGGTATATACTGAAGAGGAAATGCAAGAGATGCTCAGAAAGAATGACGGGGAAGCAAGTGAAGGCAAAGGATGTCCTCGCAGGTGCCAGTGGGAGAAGTTTACTCTGAGAAGGCTGCTGAAGAGATTCCATACAGCAGGAAAAATCATGGAGTCCAGGGGTATCTATTTTCTCAATACTACCTAGTTGTCTTTTTCTAGCACCTGATCCATTTCTGTTCATTTATTAACTCAAATAAATAGGAATTGTCATAGCTCTTCTGATGGGTGGTAGCATTCAGGATGTCAATGGATGTTTTCAAATCTCTCTTTTCATATGTGCTGCCTTTGTTCTTGGGAATGTTTTCTTCATACTATGGCATTATTTTAGGCTTTTGTCACTCCCGATGCTCATTACCTTGGAAGGAAGGAGATTTTTCTTTTCTAGTATTCTAACCAGAACCCTTTCTCGATTTGCCCACCCTGGGAAGAGGTTTCATGACTAGGTAGCTATAGGACTTATAGGCTCCTGAGGAGATGGAGAAGTCATTCTAGAAGGAGAAAATGGTTTCTGTAACCAGAGCTTATCTGATAAGCAGATGTCTTCTTTGCTATCCAGAGAAAGACATTCAACTTGCCCATTAGTATGCAGACGTGGCTCCCTGCCTTTCTCATCTGGATGACTTTCAGTTCAAGAGTTCATAAGTTGTGGGGGAAAACCAGCCCTTAGCAGAATGCTTGGCAATGTTAGATACCTTCAAGATGTAGGAGAGACTTATGAAGTCAGTGAAATTGGTGATTATTATAAATAGTCCAGAAGAAAACCCAAACTGTGTGTGATGAGTGGAACAGCATGTTGGCATGGCTGTGAGCTGTAGTCCAGGGCAATTAGTCTTCTGTATACAGAAACTTCCCTAGGGACAGTGAGTTCCTATTAAAAGGAATGCTAGACTGCGCGTTCCCTGTTTTTGTTTTCCATGCATTTCATCAAACAAGATTTATTCAAAGCATAAAAGAATCCCAGTTTATTTTTGATTTTGGCATTTTGGGTTTTAGTAGAATTAGAAAAATTTGCCTTTTGAACATATTTTAATTGCCTCTTATGACTCTATGTTCTGTATTATTATATTGCATATTTTATATAAAATAATTTTACATTTGTAATAAGGTTGTTGTAAAATTATTGTCAAGGTCAGAAATGAAACTGAACCATAAAGTCATAATCATACAAAACTGAGGAATTAGGATAATAATATGACATCTCACGGGATTTCCAGGTTTGATTTTTCTTCCAGGGGTTAAAATAGGAAAAAAAGTAACCACTTCTGGTCATTCCACCTAAAAACTTTCTTCAAAACATGGTAAGTTAATATTTTGCTTATTTTAATCCCCATTTTTTAAAGGTGTTAGGTGATATCAGTGCCTTGAAGTTTGTCCACAGAGAAGTGATCATAGCTATTCAGGAGCACATAACTGAAATGGACACCGTGCTGAGAGAATCGTTCAATACTAAAGAAGAGGAATGGAAAGGAACCATTAATATAAAAAGGTATTTTTTCTGCTAATTACACATTCATTTAGTCAGGGGTGGTGGCACTTAGCCATAATCCCAACAGTTTGGGAGGCTGAGATGAAATGATTAAATTCAAAGCCAGCCTCAGCAACTTATTGAGGCCCTAAGCAATTTAGAGAGACACTGTCTCTAAATAAAAAATTTTAAAAAAAGGCTGAGGATGTGGCTCAGTAGTTAAGCACCCCTGGGTTAATACCTGGTACCAAAAAAAAAATAAAAATAAGAATTTCATTGCTATGTGAGTGCATCTACTAAGAAGGAGCCACTTAATGCCACATCCCTGTGGTTTGTCTTACTTTTCATGGTGCACATGTCATGGTGGGAACCAAGTGGGACATCCTTTATGACCCTATTGCCTTGTAAGATGGAGTCAACCAGAAGTCAATAGCAGGTATTAGGAAGAACAGATAGGAGTCATGCCCATCACAAACAGGTTCTCAAAGAGAATGGAAACCTCTTTCATCTTGCTTACCTCCAAAGGAGCTACTGGACCACTCGGAAATTTAAAGAGGGATGGGATCATTTCTAACACTCTTGGGAGCAGTTTTCTTTCATATGGAGGGAATGAGGGGAGTGATTAGAAGATGACAAACTCAAGTCTAAATAAATTCCCTTGTCCTTTTGTGCTTCTGGAAAATGTCACACTTTTTTTTTCCCTAAAAGAAACTTTAGGGAAAACAAAGTGAAAAAATTAAATAACAACAATGAATAAACCAAATCACTTAGTGGGTTAGTTTGCAAAGCATATATTTTGTACTCTAGGATGACAGCAACCAAGGCCTAACTTGGTGGCTCAGATTTGGGCTTTCTGCATGCATTTCAATTCTTCCTAAAGAGATCAAAGTAGACCTCCACTTTTCATTCCTTATAATACTCCCCTTTTCGCTTTACTCCCTTGCTTTCTTGTCTTTCATTGGAAGGCTCATAGTGGGACTTATTAACGCAAATGGACAATGAAGTATCAGAAGGTTGACGGATCATAAAAAGCCCTGTATCATTAAGAATCCTCTGTCTGCTTTTTAGAGCGACATTTGCAGTGCCTATCGAGGCCCTTGGACCTTCCCTACATCTGTGAGGAAGTCGGAGAGCAACTACCTTTTCAGCCACATCCTTAAACAGAAGCCATGTTTATTAGAGGGCTCAAAATTGATACCAATCATTAGAAACATGGGAACACATCCAATCCTGATGGCTTTTCAATCCGCATCTTAAATCATGGTCTATCTATCGACGGTCTAACATAAGAAGTTTGCATCAAGGATTACATCTGTTTCTCTTTGTGTTGGCAGAAATTATCATGTGTATATACCGTCTGTATTTTTTATCCCATATAGCTATTTTGGAAAGCCAACCAACTTACGTTAATATGTCTGTCAACAGATCTCAACTTCACAGAAATGAATAAACTTTATAGACACATTTTAATAGTTGACATCATTGCTCCTGCTCACTAAAACATCAATAGAAGTACTTGCCGATTTTATAAGTCTTCACTTCTATTTATAGTACGCTCAGTAATATTTAAGCCCTATGAGGGCAAGGGGAATTTTCTGCTTTATTTACTATTACCTGCCCAGCTTCTAATACAGTTCTCTGAACTAGTAAATTCTCAGTACATTTTATTGGATGAAAGAATTAAACAGATATGTCAAATTTCACTTAATTTTATATCTAATAAACTACATGAGAGTGAATTGAATGAACAAAAAAGAGATCAACAGTCAATAAGTTGGTTTTTTTTTTT